TAAAGTACATAACGAGACCCTGACTCAAAATAAAAATAAAATGAAAAATCCGCCAGCAGACATGGAAACCACTCAAAGCAGTGTTCAGCAAAGGATTCCAGGGGCAGAGACAGACAGAGCAAGGCTTTACCAGCTGCCAGACCAAGAGCCAAGCTGGGTGCCACCCTGCTTCTTATTTTATGCCTATTATTTAAAACATTCCTTGAGCCAGGGCTCAAAAGAACAAGCTGGGAAACCCATTTCCTGCCCCTGATCTGCAAGGCCTTCCCTCTTGACCTCGTCGCAATTTTTCGGGATTTCAGCCAAATCCTAGGCAAGACTCCGTTTGGGAAAACCACGGAGCCAATCCAAAGGCCTGTTCTTCCTCCCTTTGCTGGACAGCTGCTGCCACCTGCCCCTCTCTGCTTGGAGGTCTCTGTCCCTGTGCCGGGACAGGCTGTGGGCTCTGGCTGCTGCCTCCGTGGAGGTTCCGCACCTGCTGAACGGCACAGAGCCTGCGGCCCCTCATTGTCCTGCTAACCACTGTGTAAAAGTTCCAGGCTTCCTTTGACCTCTCTGTTTTGCCTGGTTATGCTGCAGAAGCCCCACTGACATGCGTCCCGGCCCCACTGCAGTGAGGGGGGACTTTTAGGCCCCTGCCTGCGGCCTTTCTTTCCCCATCTCTGCTCCCTCTAGCACTTGCTATTCTCTTTTCTTTATCCCTCTATCTCTCCCTCCCTCTCTCTCTCTCTTTCTCACACATACACACACTCTCTTTTTTCAGTCTTTTAACATGGTTTTCCTAAAAAGTTTTTTAATCAATCAAATTTGAGGCAGAAAATAGGTTTTGTCACGCCTGGTCTCGGGATAGTGTGGCTCTCACTCAGGCTCCTGACAGCTCCTCAATGCAGGAAGGAGGCCAAACAGAATATTTGTCCAGGAAAGTGCCCGTTTCCATGACGCTGCCCCTTGTTGTCTATGCCGCCCCCCTCTTCAAGCTGCCGGGCTGACATGGCCCCAGACCCTGTGAAAGGGCTGGCCAGGGAGAGGATGGGGCGGTGGGCTGGGGGCAGGGGCTAGAGACAGCAATGGGGTGTAGCTGGGCAGCCCAACAGCTGTCCCGAGCCTCCATGGCCCTAGAGGGCTGGGGAGCAGGTAGGAGCGGCAGGGCAGGAGCCTGGCTGTGCTGCATAAACAGTGTGGCCTCATCCATATGGAGCTGGGCAGCCGTGGGGGACAGGCTCCAAGGCTGAGTCCTGGACAGGCGGTGGCTGCAGCCAGAGGGGACAGCGGATGGATGAGCCTCCTTCAAGTCCTGGTATGCTGGTCACCCGTTGTTCCCTGCCACTCTGCTGCCTGCAGGTCCTCAGGGTCTCCCTTCTCTGGCCCACTTCCTTCTTCCTCCTTATCCCCATCTTTCACCCTTTTCTCTCTCCTACTGTTCTCTCTCTCTCTCTCTCTCTCTCTCTCTCTCTCTCTCTCTCTCTCTCTCTTTTTTATAATTAATGATTAGTTTTAATTGGTTTGCTTAGGCAGCCTGACAGCAAATTAACAGAAGCCAGCCTAGGGCTGCCCAGCTCTGGTGGGAGACCACTGTGCTTCCGATCTGGTCAGGAGGCCGGGTTGGCTTCTTGGAGGTCAGGGCTCCCCCACACAAGTGTAGTAGCCAACAGAAAGGTGATAGTAGGCACGTCACATATAGGAGGGCTCAACTGTCAACTTTCTGTGTGCCTCTCTTTCTGCTTTCCTCCATCCTCTCTTCACTCAGGGTCCACAGAAGAGGCACAGAGCCGTTGCCTTCAGCCCAGGACAGGGCTTGCTTTTGGTACCAACCATCCTTGCCTGTGCCATGGCCAATGGAGTTGGCAGCTTGGCATCTCTCAGGCCAAGATTCTGCTCTTTCACACAGATAGGAGAGAAGAGGCCACAAGGCTGTTGTCACTGTGAACTCTGCTGTGTGCTGTCAGCCACCTCAGCCTATAAGCTGCAGGACCTGGATCTGATTCTGATCTGCCTAACCCCTCTGCACAGAGCCTTTAATCTTTCCATCCTCAATTGTCTGGTCGAAGTATCTAGGATCAAGAACATTAGGCAAAGAGTAGATGGATGGATGAGTGGAAAGACAGATGGAGGGAGAGAGGTTGGACTGCTGGCAGACAGTAGATACCCTGGCATCTCTTAGATACTTTCTGCCATAACCCCTGAGCATATCCCTTTTCTTTCTTAGCTTGGAAGGGTTTCACTCAACCTCAGCCTGCCTGGGGTAGGGCCCGCTCTCTGGACTTTCCCAGCTGCTAAACTTCTCTCCCCACCTCATAGACTCCTTCCTTTACATATCAGCTTTCTGACTCTATACCCAGGGTGTGCTAACCACTCACCCACAAGGATAAACACCAGACATTAGGTCCAGTGAAGGGTAAAGACAGGAGAAGATACCTAGGTGGCTGGGGATGTTGGGACAACCTGTAATCCCAGCATTCTGGGAGACTGAGGCAGCAAGACTGCAAACTGGAGCCCAGGCTGGGCAACTCAGGAACTTAGTGAAAGCTAAAGAAGAAGATATCCAGGCAAGAAATGAGGCTAGGGATGCTACTCAGCACTAGAGTGCTTGCCTACTGTGCACAAGGCACTGGGTTCAAGAGAGAGTGAAAGCCTGACTACTGACTACTGGATACTTCTTGGGCTCCTACTGGGGACCTAGAATCCACCCAGTGTCCCTGACTCCACCAAGAGACAGCCTCTCTGCTGCTGTGAGCCACACCACCTGCCCAGGCAGGCAGGTGAGGGACAGGACTCAAGCGTTGTCCTGGTCCTGTGCATAGACAGCTCTGCCCCTCCTCCCGCCGGCAGCCCCGACCAACTCCTGGAAAGTTTCCTCCCCGATTGTTCTGTATGATCAGATCTGCAAGTTGCTCTCTAAGCTTCTTGTCACATTTTGACTTAATGAAGTGCAACTGCTGAGGGATTTGGGTTCAACGCTCCGGTCTCCCGCACTCCCTTGTTGTCAGAAAACAGGGGTGGTTGGGGACGGCAACACCGCGCTGCAAGTCGTTATCATTCCGGTCAGTCTGTTTAACACAAAATTAAACAAAGAACTAATTAGTGCCTCATGAATTAATAAATGCACACTTGCCGGGGAGGATGGGAGGGGAAAAAAAGGTGGTGGAAGGGAGATACTGGAGTTATGGAGTTGGGGGGCTTTGGGGGTTCAAGAGGCTGGCCGGGTGCCTTGAGGGATCTCAGGCAGTTGAGCTTGGGATGGACAGGATGGCAATGACACCCCAGCCGAGGCCCAGGGCAGACTGGCCGGGACGTGAGCTCTGTCCCCCAAGTTCACCCAGGGCCTCCCAGCAGAGCCCCAGGAGTCTGTGAGTGTGGCCCAGAATCCAGGCTCACTCCTGCCACTTTCCCAAGTCATATCTCCCCTCCAGTCTAGCCCTGTTCCTCTGTAGGCCTCTCAGCCCACTTCTTCCGCTTTGTGTGGCATCCCCCTTTCTCTCTGCTGCCCCCCTCATCTCAATGTCCAACAGCTCTCTGCAGACCCCCTGCTTTGCTTTCTGGGTCACACAGTGGCCCACAGTGCAGCTTTCTCTAACCACTTGCTGCCCATCCAGCCCCCAGCCCTCTTAGTCTGTATCCTGCAAGGTGGGCTCTACCCCAGGGGGCACCCTCTGCCCTAGCAGCCCAGCACAGGTGACAAATGCTGGCAGAGAACCGAGCCCTCCTTAAGAGGACATGTCAAATGCAATTAGCATTATCTGTCTAAGTACATCCTGGAAACAGGAGAGTGAGCGGTGGGACAAGGTGGCATTCTGGGAGCCCCGTACAAGGTCACCTCATCTCCCACAATCCCACAATCTGATTTGGGGATTACAAGGTCTAAGGAAATTGGAGTTATTCCTCTTGCATCATTGATAAGCCACAAATGAGGGAGAGAGAAGAAGAAAAGGTAACAAACAGTAAACCCTCCCAATCGGGGTGAATGCTGAGGTCAGGATGTGGGGCCTGGCTCAGGCAAGGATGGGTGGGGCCAGGTGGGGCCAGGTGGGCAGGTGGAGGGCTCCTCAGGCTTTCCCTCTGTGCACCGAGTCTGTCCCATTTGAACCTGGTTCCCCAAACTCCTACTTCAGACCTCAAGCTGGGCTGAGTCATGTATTGGTTGAAGAAGCGCTATGTTGTCAGGGCCATTTCCCCGTCCTCACTCCACCCCCAGCAGGGGCTGCTGGGACTCATCACAGCGTAGAAGGTGCTGTCACAGGCTGTTCCTGTGGAGCTGAGTCTTCTCAGTCCCTGGCTTTGGTTCTTGTCTCCTCTCGGACATCTACTTGCACTAATAGATACCTTGGCATCTGTCTCTACCCCAGCCTCTACTAAGGGTTAAACTCAGGGCTTTCACAGCGAGCTACATTTCCACCCCCTGACTAAATGTTTTATTTAGAGGCAGGATGTCACTAAGTTGCCAAAGCTGGGTAAAAACTTTTGATCTTCCTGCTTCAGCCTCCCAGAGTGCTAGGTCACAGGTAGGCACCACTGTATCCAGCTAGCACCTGTCATTTTTTTTCTCTCAGGAATCAAGGGAAAAAAAAACTAAGGGAGTGGTTGAGGCTCGAGTCCTCAGTTGCCAGGTACCCTACCGTATCAGCAGCTGCACAAAAACCTATAGGCCTTATAAGCCGTGCCCCCAAGCCCAGATGCCCATGTCTGCCTCCACGGAAGAGTGTGCAAACTATGATCTGACTTTCCTGTGCTTGGTTAGTGTCCCGAGAGCCACAGTTCCCCTGCAATCAGCCACTGCTGCTTTCTGAATTTTCACTTTGGTTGCTGTATACTCCAATGAGCCCGAGTCAGAGCCCACTCAGCATGTCTGAATCACCAACCCCTCTATCTGGAGCATTTGTCCCTCAGCCTACAGGGTGCCAGAAAGCCCTAGGCACACAGGGACAGGAAAGCACATGCTGGAGAGAGTGTGGGGGTGAAGTTTCCTGCCTGGAAAGGCTAACAGCTCCTCTCTCCCTTCCCAGGATGAAGTGACCCCCCACCACCACTACGCTGGAGACACCTTGAAGACCTGCCACAAGGTAAGGCCTAAATCTCTTCTCTGATCCTGGTCCTAGTTCAGTCTCCTGAATTCATGGGAAGGGGAAGACATGGGATGGGAGCCACACTGCCCATTGGAACCTGAGCGAAAGATGGAGCCCACCGGAAGCTTCTGCTGCTGCCCATTGGAACCGGAGCGAAAGATGGAGCCCACCGGAAGCTTCTGCTGGGCTCTGAGGCTGGAAATGGGCCGCAGAGGCATGGGCTACAGACTTGGGGCAAGGAATGTGTTCCGGGCAGCACAGGCTGGGGACATGGGGGTGGGGAACCTGGGCTGGGGCCCCCAGAACCCCAGCCCACAGGGTTCTCTGGGCAGGGATGGAAGCCCAGCAGTCCTTTGCTGCCTGACCCTCTGTGGGTACACTGGCGTCACTGCCACTGCCTCCTCCTCGCAAGACTGGCAGGGAGGAGCCCAGGCCTACTGTCCCACCTTTCGCCAGATCCAGGGCTCCCCCCGGAGGCTGGGCACATGGGCCAGCCCTGGCCTGGCCCTGCCTTCACAGGCTATCACAGTCCCTGGCTCAAGGAACCACGAGGCCACAAGGCCTGGGCCCCAGGCAGTGCCATGTCAGAGGTGACCGGTGGAACGCCAGTGTTATGTAAATAGCGGGGCCTGCCCGGCAAGCGAGCTGGCAGGCTGCAGTCATCCATCATCCCCGCACGGCGGGGCAGGGGACAGACACGGCACCGTGCGCCTGGCTCCAAACCTGTTTGTTTTCCTTTTGTCTCTCGCGTTTCGGGGCGGCTGTGACCGACTCCGGGTTTTGTCCTGCTGGCCCCTTCCCCCCCAGGAGGACGGGAGAAGGGAGGCGAGTCCCCCGGCTCCCACCGCGGCATCCCTTTCGGACTTCAAAGGCTCCCCCAGCATTGTCTGCGCCGGCAGGCAGTGGCCCTGAAAACGTGATCAGAGGCGGCCCGGTGTAGGGCAGGCCGGGCCCCGCGCCCTGCACTCTTGCTGGGGCCGGTGGATTCCTCCCTTTGCCGCCAGCACCACCCTGGTTACAGCACCATTCTGGGTCTCCTCTTGCCTTTCTCTCTCGACGGCCCTTCTTACTCCCTCTGGCTGCTCCTTCCTGCCCTCAGCTTCAGCTTCTCTCTTCTCTTGAGGGCTTTGAGAATCTGAAATTGCAGGAGCCTCCAAGCCTCCGCCCCTTCCGATCCTCACTCAAAATCTCAGGCCTTGAGCAGGCTTTCCTAAGGCGCTGGGAGCTAAAATTCTGCTTCCTGAGCAAGGCCCTGGCCCTTTACCCAGTGTGGAAGCCTTGCTTCCGCCCTAGACCTCTACCCAGGAAGGTCCAGGCTGGACACCTTCAACACCAACCACAGGATGGAACAGGCATCATCTGAGTCTTCAAACTGAACCCCTAGTGCTTTCACTTTCTGGAGCAGGGCATAGGATGTCCCCTGGGTCACATTTAGTCCACAGCCTATTTTTATAAATAAAGTTTTATTAGAAACAGCCATGCCCATTTGTCTTCCTGTCCTGTGTAGCTGCTTTTTCACCCTATAATGGCGAAGTTGAGCGGCTACAGCAGGAACTGGCTGACAAAGTGTGAAATATTTACTCACTGGCCCTTGACAGAGAAAGTTTGCAGGCCCCAGCCTTGGAGGCTCTAGACCCATCTCCCCTCACTCATAAAATATAGAGAACATGAAATTCACCATGGTACCCATACCAGAGAGTGTGATATGCTGGCCTGAAGCACACCCCCGTGTCGTGTGCTGCCTTCCTGTGCCATCACCCACAGTCAGTGGGTGACTGTGCTGGCCCAGGGCATTAGTCTGAGGGCCCAGCGCTGGGGCTATAGGCTGCTTGCTGTCCTGGTATGCTGGAGAGCCCCATCCTTCCTCTCTTAAACCCTCATCCTCTGCTTGGTCCCTTCTACCTAGAAATGCCAGCTCTTCCATCCCCCTCCCACCCCGGTCCTTGGAGATGCTGCTGCTAGCATCCAGGGAGGCCTGTGCTCCTCTCCTGTCGCCCATAGTGATTCTTCAGCCTCAGAGGCAGTTTCTTCTTTTGCAAGGTGAGAAGACATCTTCTCGAGATGAGTGAGTGAGTTGTGGCTAAAAGCAGCCAGCCTGGGACTGGACAGGGAGGGTTCCAGAGCCTGCGTCTCTACTGTCACATTGGGCAAAGCAGCAGCCCAGGATAGACCCCTGCCCTAGTGTTCGCTGGGTCTGAGCCATTAAGGAAGGCAAGAACCCTAATGCCAGCGGATCCATGGAGGAAGACTGTCCTCTGTGCAGTGGGCTGGTCATCCCGGGCTGTCCCGTGCTGTTGCTGGGACCTGGGAAGTGGCCCGAGCTCTCTTAGCACCAGTCTCTCGGGCTATAAGATGAGAGATTCTGACCATGTACTGCTCTTCGTGGAGGGACAGGGATGCTTGAGGCAAGTTGTGCAGGCTGCAGTGGACACTCAGAGAGGGCAGCTGGCCTCTGGGGGGCTGCCCTTCTGGCTGGGAAGGGCCTGAAGGTTGCTTGCTAGGCTCTGGTTCTGTCCAGGGTCAGGGGCTGAGGCTGCTCTGGCGGAGCCCCATGGCCCTGCCAACCTGGGAACTGGCTCCAAGCCTGAGAGAACAAGTGGCAGGGAAGGACGAGGAAAAGGGATCTTTGTGCAGCTGGGGCTCGGGATGGAAGCTGCCCTGCCCAGCTCTCCCAGCTGTGGCTCCAGTGGCTGCGCTAGTCTTGCCCGGCTTCTCCTAGCCTCTGTGCAGCCCTCCTCCCCTCCAGGCCAATGCACCACACCCTACCAGCTTCTCTCCCTACTTTCTTCCCACCACCCAAACCACCCCCACCCCTGCAATGCATGTCTCTGTCTTTCTCTCTCTCTTTCTCTTTCTTTCTCTCCCTCTCTCTCCTTTTCATCTACTCGGAAGGCTTTACTTTACTTCCTTGTCACCCTAATTGATTGCATTAACCTTTCAGCGTATTGGATTTCCCCGGCATCGTGCAGAGAGCCCTGTGCAATATGCTTATAATCTGAGCCATAATGGACAGTTTGCAGTCAACAAGCCCCTTCTCCCATTGGCCCCGTTGACATCTTTCTTGCCCAGGCCACCCTGGCTGCTTCCCCGGCCAGCAGGGGTGGGCAGTAGAATGGGCTAGGAGGAAGCGGGCACATGCTTGGATGAGCCGATGCATTTGCTCACCTCTCCTCTCCCTGGCCCTCCCTGTAGCCTTGGATCCGCTCTCCAAGCTCTCTGTCCCAGGGCCTGGCCAGGCTTCTGGTCTCTGTGAGTCCTCTTGGCTTGGCTTTCTGCTCCTGGGACTCTGTCTAGTGAGTGGTTGGTGGGGCCAGCTTGGATTTTGTAAATGAGAGAGTCAGTTGTCAGAACGAAATGTCCCCCCATCACATGCCCATTAGGCTTTGAGGGAGGATGATGGTGACCACTGCAGGAGATGGTAGGTGGCTGAGAAGCCAGGTTCCCAGCATTCATTGCTCCCAAGCCAGTGGACCTTTGGGATCCTCCACAGCTGGGTCATTCGTGGAAAGAATATGGGAGCACAGGGCAGACCGAAAGATGCATCTGCAGGAGCCCAGGGTAAAGGGGGACGAATGCCAAAAGTGCTGGCCACAGTGATGAACGCATGGTGGCTTCTCTCAGTGGCAACATCATGGGCATCTGGACACCTAGTTTCAGCTCCGTCTCAGGCTGGTGTGCTTTGCTTGGTTGATGGGTGGTGTCACAGGGTCTCAATTTCCTATCTAAGGTCTGGCAGTAGTTTTGAGCAGATGCACCTTCTTCATCAGAGGAGAGATGACACAGACTGGGACAATGCTCTTTGAGCAGGCTGGCCTGGCCTGGTAGGCTGGAGCTCCCTCACACTGGCTCCTGGTTATGTACCTGCTAGCCCAGCAGAAGGCAGAGAAGCCAGCCCCAGGCCAGCTGCCCAGTCCTGGAAGCTCATCCTCAGCCCTGAGGCTCAGCCCCTGTTGGTCTGGGCCAGACCCTCAGCCCAGAATCCCGATCGCTGAGTCGTCACTCAGGACAAGATGGGATGTCAGGTTGCATACATTAGTGTCAGGCTGGAGAAGCGGGACGGAAGCTCCCATTAGCCCTGGTGGTACTTCCTCTCTCCGGAGCTGTTCTCTCCCCCGCCCTTTGCCCATCATCCCCTCCTTCTGAGCACCCCCACCTCCTCCCATCACTCCATCACTGCGAAGGGCAAGCTTTGGCAAGAGAGGGCTGGACCTCGGTCCTTCCCATCCTCTCCCAAGGATTTTGGGGGTGGGCAGAGGGCACAGAAGGGAGAAGCCAAGCAGCGAATTAAAGTTTGTGATTGTCAGTGTCAGGAGAAGCTAAATAACCCTGTAACTAGTATGAAGGTGAATTCACGGTCTGCTGCACATGGAGAATATGAGTGTCTGCGAGACGGACGAGTGTGCAGCCCCGGAGCCCGCCTGCCACGGTGGGCAGCAGCCTCTCCAGGGACCCTGCGGGAGGCAGGAGGAGGGCCGTGCACCCTCCCACCCTGCACGGGAGCAGCTGCCCGGGAGCCCCACCAAGCGCTGGGGCAGCTCAGCTGCTTGACAGCCCACCGGCCTGACTCCAGGGACCGAGGGGAGGTGCTCCTAAGACCGGCAGTGTACACTAGCGGTCTCCTAGGGACAGACAGAGCCCTCCCCGAGCACACGCTCAGTGCCTGGCCCAGGGCCGGGTCCCATAGCAGTGCTGCTGCAGTCAGTGCTGTCAGGATTCGCCCCTTCCTCCCAACTTTTTTTTTTTCCAATATTTTAATTGATTAACGTCATGCAGCCTGCTTGTGATTTATTTCTTCTTGCTCCATTTTAAAATGTCCTGTAAATTTTTTAATATTAATTTTAACCTCCCAACTTTTTAATAGCTATTTTATTGAAATGCAATTCAGATACCCTAAAATTCACTTTTTTTTTTTTTTTTTTTTGGTGGTACTAAGGATGGAACCCAGAGGTACTCTACCACACTGAACTACACTCTACACTTCCAGCCTATTTGTTTGT